GCAAGAAGGTGACCATAATCGACCTAAAGTCATGGATATTCCATAATTAATAATCGTGGTATTAGCCAGTGGAGTAGTCGTTTTCTGATAGGTGTCAGTCCATTCAACCTACTGTGTAGGTATAAGTTCATTTCTTTAGATTTGTTTATTGCCTGTCTTCAAGAATAGCCCAATGACTAATAAGGAACAATCAATACTTGATGAAAATCCATATTAAAACTCATCAATACCCTTTGTTGTGTGATTTTGTATGATTATAGTGAAAATCAAACGATAAACGGTATTAATGAATTTTATCATTATTTATTCCTAGGAAAGTAACAATTGGCTTATGGTAGCTATAATATGTGTACCTACATACACAAAATAATCAATAAAAGATTTTAATAATAAATAACCTTTCCTTACATTATCATATTAACACACATAAAATTAGAGTAATAACCAAGCTTTTCTTAAGTTAAACAATTTCAATATTAAATAGTTCAACTTTGGTTAGTTTTAAGTTATCACTTCTGTCGGGCGTCCCGAGACACACACGTTTTTTATCTTTAATTTTAGTGGTGTATTCAAAACGTTGAAAATAAACAGATACCAAGTAGATATTTGGAAATGAAAGTTATTAGTAATCCAAACTGATGTTACTTCAAGGCCATATTGTAGATATTCCAAAAATACAAAAAGAACAATTATATAAATTTCTTGATGACCATCAGGCATCTTAGTTTGGATGTTTAGATTTGATATGTCATATGACAGAAGTGACCGTTTATTTCAAAACATAAAAAATAGTAAGGCACCTACTTTATCTACTCACTTTTTTTAGATAATTTTGAATATGCATGGCTTTGAGCACTTTCATAAAATAGTCTCACCGAGATAAGATCAAAAGGTAAATACCAACTGAAAGCATTCATAATCGAACATTCGCTAGATTATCAACATACATTCTTAAACACGTCCTCTGTTATGATTGACGGCTTTCAATATCGGCCGTCCCATATTGCCGATTACAGCTCTAATCCTGATCTGAATCGATCCACCTCAACACAACAAAACTGCCGGCTATTTTATAGATGGATGTTCGGAAAGACTAATTTATTGGAATGTCACATACAGCTCTCCTGAACATTTTTATTGAGTATGATGGGCTTTTCCCAGCGGAAGTAATGTCTATTATTCCGTTTCGAAAGGCATGTCGGAAACGAAATAAAAACTTAATCCATAACAAAAACTGACAGCTCGGAAGCCACATCGATTCCTTTAAATCGATTCAGTACACTAACTTGTCACGAAGAAAAATTAAATGACGACTTTCCTTTATTCTGTTTGAGACAGAAAAAAGCCAAACACTTGTGCCGTTGAAGAATGTTGTTTTTTTTTTAGGGAGAAAACACAAGCACCACAGGAGAATCCTTGAGGCGTTCTCAGAGCGGTGCCTGTGCAAAAGTAGCGATTTACATTGGATTTGAATCGCTAGAGAGTAAATCCATTTGGCAAAACGTTCTCAGGAAGTTTATTCCATATAAATGCAGTTCTCCATATGAAATAGTTCTTGAAAATTGGAGTTCGAGGTGAACTGAGTTGAACCTCAAAACGATGAGCAGCCACAGTCCGTCGCGTATTTCTGATATGTACCGCTCTTGGTGGAATCAAATGTGCCAAGTTACTTGAACGCCTCCCGTGAAAGAATCTACAGAAGAGAGACAAATCTCCAACTTTTCGTCGATGTTCCAGGCTATCAAGGTTGCACGTGATGTTCGCGTCTCCGATCAGGCGGATGGCTATTTTCTGGATGGAATCCAGCAACTTCAGGGTATGTTTGGGGGCAGAGCTCCATACATGGGAACAATACTCCAAAGAAGGTCTGATCTGAGCTTTATAAAGCATCAAAAGTTGCTGAGGAGTGTACAGTTTTCTGGTTCGGAACAATATTCAAAGCTTTTTAGAAGCAGCCCTTGCAATTACAGCTTCAAAATTGTGCCAAGACATATTGGTGTCCATTTTAACCCTAACTTATCGAAGCAGAAAGCGGAATTGTCTAACCTGACATTATTACATTCGATTCGGAGACATTTATCTTCTTGGAGAAAACTGATGCCTGGGTTTTTGTGGCATTGAATTGAAGCTGGTTATTTTCACCCCAATTTGAAATTACTTCTAGATCCACATTAAGATATGCAACCTCCTGCTGTCGGTGGAGATGTGCCTCCATAGCCGATGTCCTAGAATCCAAATGGAATGACAAGTGTGCTGTCGTCAGCAAAGCAATATATTGGATTATTGGTTTTTTCCAATAAGTCGTTGATATACAATAAAAAGAGAGCTGGAGACAATATGGATCCCTGGGGAACACCAGCGTTGATGGTGATAGTTTCCGTGAGATATTCATCGACGGCCACTTGCAAGGAACATTCTTTCAGGAAGCTGGAGAGACATACACAGAAATGATCCGACAATCCATAGAATCGAAGTTTGGCCAGCAAACCCTCATGCCACACACAGTCAAAGGCCTTAGAAATATCAAGCGCAACAACTCTTGATTGTCCATGTTTCACTATTACGTTATTTCAAATATGGGTGACATACGATAGAAGATCGCCTGTTGATATTTGTTTCCGAACGCCATATTGATGATCGCTCGAAATGTTGAAACCTTTCAAATATTTGAGGATATAGTGGTTTACGACTTTCTCCATAATTTTTGATATCACCGATGGCAAAGCGACTGGTCTATAGTTATTTGGAAGATTTTTCTTGCCCTTTTTGGGAATAAGCGAGCAATCTTCCAACAAGAAAGACAGGTTGAAAAGTCTGAAAAATCTGGTAGACGATTCATTCTTGGAATTTGCGCAAAAATATATGATCACGGCATATGCAAAAAAAATTTCGACTACGAATATTTTGGAAATTGATAAACTATAAAAATTCACGTCACAAAAAACATTTGTGAAGTCAGAATGGATTCCTGCATTGGTGTGTTGGCCAGTGTAAATACTTCAGTGCACTTTCGAATACGTTTGAAGCTGAATGGGCATCAAAATCAAAATAGCTACATTGCACGAAAGTTTATGTGGCAACAATTAGTAAAAAAATGAATATATGTCAATTATATTTTTATAACCTTTTGAATTATATGTGAAAAAATAAACCAAACGTTCAATATAATAATCATGATTCAAGAAATAAATTAACATATTCTTTAAAAAATAGAGTGATGAAAACTATATCGCAACAAAATTATATGTATATAATTCCTTATATATTTAATAAGCTGCCTCATATAAATAAGTACAATTTTTTTTTCATATGAAAATAAAATTAAAGAATGGATAATAGGGACTTCACGAATTTTTCTCCATGATATAATGAATTTCAATAAATTTTGATATACATTTCATCAACTCCATTTCTGAATCATTTTATTTAAGTAATTCATATATTGTTATTAAGCACATATTTTAAATTTATGTATTCATTTGTTATTTTCTTTTTTTCGCAAATGTTCATATACTTTTTGTATAGAACTGCTCAGTTTGTTGTTAGAGTACTCTGTATACATGTACAAATGACTATCCTTTATATTTCACACCTACAGCAATAATGTGCCATATGTAGCACATATATTATAAACCTTTGAAAACCATTGTCTGAAATACTTATTATTGAAACTTTTCACATGTATACTTTTCTATAATGAAAAATGCAAAAATATAAATTTAAGAAATAATTATATAGTCATCTGAAAATTCTGCCACTTAAACAATTGGTCGTCCACTTTTAGATGATCATGTTTAGACAAAACTAAGCAAATTCCTTTTCATAGTCTATGTTACATGTTCTGCCATCTATCAATGAGTATCCCAAACATATGGTCTGACACAGCTCAAATGAAACTCGTTCAAAATGGTTGCCAAAAAAAAACAGTAGTTACAAATATTAATTCACTTGTTATGTTAATTCATTATATTCTTGTCACAAATTCAAAAGTCAACATTGATATAAAAAATATAGTCAACAGGGCCATCGTAGTATGTCCTGGAAAACACACAGCTTTCTAGATCCAGAAATACCAAAAGGAATGAAGATTCAATGATCTGAGTAGCATAATGTATTTTTTGTAGTGAACACCAACTGAAATGATTTTTCTCCTGTGAATTACTTTACTTATTTTTGCAATGACAGAAAGAATTCGCAATATGTACAATACAGCGCCCTCTATATTGAAGTAGACCAAGCAGCATTGCTGAGATGTTAACATGTTAAATATTCATTAGAAGGTAGACATGTACTGCCTAGTAATAAATAATGCATTGCTTGTCCTAAAAGAAAAGATCCGAAGTTCAATTTACCCTTTGGAATACAGTGACAAATGTCGTGTGAGAAGAACAGAGTGAAGATTACTTTTTGTACCATACACAATTCGGCTACCTCTTGAAGTATGCAACAGCATTTGGTGAATGGGCTTGAAAACTTTTATGGCAAAAGTACTATCTGACCAGTCAATGTTCATTTTCATTTTGAAATATTTTGAATTACCTTTGAAGACTTCAGTGTTGAAACATACTTAAATACATATTATTTCATCAGTTGACATTTTGCAACATTTTTTTGTATAATTGTTGGGGGTTTTCTCTTACGCATGTCCTGAATGTTTCAGTGTGAATGTGAACTAGAATAACAACTGGAAATATAATTTTACCATGTTCAATGACAAGTCAAACTGAATATATTGCTCAGATCGTTTGATTTTTAAAAAAATTCAAGGTTCATAGTTTAGAATTTCTAGTTTCATTGTGGATTGTAAATATTAATCTGTTTTTTCCGTTTGTCTGTTTTTGTTTACTTGTAATATAATACTTTCATAGTTTGAAATTTCACATATCTGTGTACCCTTTGAACGTTTCTACATGAACCATTGAGGAAAATGATGTACTTATTTTATAGACGAATAAATAAAAACAATATAAGCAGTTCAAATAATGTCAAACAAAACTCACCGCCACCATATCGAAGATGGTAAGATTATTCCTGGAGCCCAACATAACCATACCCATAGCTATACCAGCAGCCTCCCCTGTATTAGCATCATCCTGATAAAGGTTGAACTTTAGCTGGTCATAAACATCAGTTCTGTGAGTGCCCATCGCAGCTAGACCTAGGCCAAGGCAGCCGCCATGTTTCACCATCTAAAATGTAAAATTTATTGGTCTTTCAACTCATTATGTTCAGAAGTTAAGTTGAGAAAATCAATTTCAGATTCAAGAAAAGGTAGGCAGAATATATATAGTTAAAATATAACACAGAACAGAGAGAACAGCACTCCCCAGTGATACAAGAGTTGCTTCAATTCGAGAAGTTTAGTTGGAACTTTATTGGGGAGGCAATTTTATAATATGTAGTGACCGACTGATTTTCAATTTTGAAAATATTATTTTACTTTCAGCAGAAATAAGTATGAGTTATTAAAATTTTCTAAAAACTACCTCAAATTCAAAAAACACAAATTTGTTCTCTACCTATTATTGTAATTTGAATTCAAGCTTATTGACGAATATTTTAAAATGAGGTATCATGCATTTTCTACATGTAAATCAGTTCAGTTGGAAAACATACCTCATTTTGCGAATCCTTCACCTGACCCAGCAGGTAATCAATAATGTTCCCACCATGATTAGCGTGGATAAGTCCTAGAGCATACAAACCACCACCTTCCGAATACCCCGAACTAGGTCCTACTTCTTTGGGAAGATAACTTTGCATTAAGGTTAAAGCTTCCTGCTCATGTCCCCTGTGTATTACACCCAAAGATGCTGTTGCTGTTAACTTGGCCCAGTTCGTGGCTCGAGCCAACCATTCCAAATTATCTCTGGGAAATGAAAAATATTATAAGCTGGTTGGAAGACATCATACATAAACTATTGTTATTGTTCAGTTGACAACTAGAAATATTTAGAAATAAATAAGTACAATTTGGAACCCCTGGCATAAAATGAATCTATTGAAAGTGTGTTTCCCTCAACAGAACAAATAAACTGTCTCTCAACGAGCTAACCAAGTTAGCATCATCAGGAGAAGAGTCTAGTCATCTCCTGATGATGGGTCGGGTGACTCTTGTTCTGGTGAGGAAAATGTGTTTTGAATCGAAATAAATACTTGAATTTGTTTGGAAAACTGGTAGGATTTGTCCTGACTTTATTTCTAGTATTCTGCGAGAAAATTGAATTATGCAAAAAGAAAATTTTGAAGTGTAGCACTTCAATGGTAATCACCACACCATCAGAAATGTTACTGACAAGACTGTCACGGATAAAAAAAAATGTCAGCACAAAATGATAAAAAAAAATTTTGGACCAACAGATCCAGTTTTGTCAAGAAAGTATGATACCATAGCAAAATGAGTTCCCACAACATAGGGATGTACACTTGAAGAGCAAAGTCACAAATACCACTCAGGAGGATTTCAAACAGATTTTTGTCTAACTTCATAACTATTGTAAAAAAGATAAGTATGATTATGATGTAGGCCGTTACGACACATATAACAATGACAAATATCAGTTCATCAGTCATTGACTACACCCCTTAGATTGTTATTAATTCATATGAATCACATGAATAATTCAGTTAATATTGAGTTACTTTATATTTATCTTCATCCAAATAGGAAGACATTCTGAATATGACTCTTTAGCAACAATTCTCAGCCAAACCAAACTAGTTTCTTAACAAGACGCAGTAACTTAGTCAAAGAGTCCCACATTCACCAAGTTGTTACTCTTTTGAAGCCAAACTTGCCAGAAGAAATAGAAAATAACTGCCTGGTGGAAAACCCAGAAGTTTATAACCTTTCAATTTGCCGTTATGACAATTTTTCATCTAAAGTGACCGACGCTTTTGAAAACACTTTACTCACACTTTTCAACACGCGTTTTGCTAACCAACTCAGCATTATCATCAGAGTTTTTGTTCTGGTGTGGGGGAAAATATTTTCGTAAGATTCATTCCAAATTCTACTGATCAAATGCTCAACAGTTAAGAACTAAAGGGCTACCTGAAGATTTGAGAAATTCTGTAAATTCTGTACACCATTAAGTTAAGAAATATATACCCTTCAGGTACAAGTACTGAAGGGCACCTAAAAATTTTTTAAAATATATCTGCTGGTTGTTATGCTATTGGGATAGTCTCAAATGAGTTAGGGTACTCAACAGCTTAATCTGTGCATAATAAGCTGATAAATTCACATTTACATTCTATTTTTGGGGGTTTCTGACAGTTCATTGTTACAAAGTGTATTTATGCAACAAATATCAACATTGCGGAACCTAGGCAAACTTTTATTTTGGGACTCATCACCTTTCTCCAATCTAACCAACGATTCTTCAATGTATAATGAAGGTGAGAGGTACAATCAAACACCTGAACATATAAAAACAATAAATCTGGAGAAACAATTCAGAAAAGAAGTTAAAATTGTTATGCTATTTCTACTGATCCTTAAAGACAATAAATAATAATAATTTATCAGTTGAAAAGGACAAATGTACAGATAAATACATATATATACAATGACTGATAATGATATCGATAAACATTCACAAAATGAAAATGATTGAATTAATTTTTTTTCTTAAAAACATTAACACATAATTCATACATAAACAAGAGAAACCGGTGTCAATCCCGATGCCAAATTTTTGTATTACAAAAACTCTTGACTTACATTATGCATGGAATCATTTCATTGAGCACTATCTATACTGAACAATAAAAATGCTGAATTATTACTTTCAGTTAAACACTATTGTAGTTGAATGAATATTTTAAAGAGAAGACCTTTTAAGCCTCTCAGAAATGGATTTTTATTTTATTTTCACAATTATAAAACAAATATGACTAGCTGTTTGCTCTTTAACAAGGCACTTTTGGTGCCATAATGTAAAATCTATTTGACTTCTTGTTTTCATTAAAATATTCTATTTCATTCTTCAATAGAATGCTCTTGATTATTCATATTCATACCGATATCTACCATATATTTTGCTGTCATAAATGCAAATTTCATGCTTTGTCAAAAAAAAATAGATTATAGAAGTTCCTAATAATATTAAAATAATATTTATCTTTATAAATGATCGGGTGATTTTTACCTTGAGGAAATGTGACATATCTAAATCTTGTAGTGATCGAACACCCACTATAATATTCATTAAATATCATAAAACTTCAATTTCTAACTCACCTCAGAAACTGGTCACTTGTCGTGCCGCTATGCATGAATGCATTGGCAATAACAGTGGCTGTGTGGCAAATACTAACTCGAACTGTTTCTTTGGTTTGTTTCAAAATCAATAAATCAGCGTGATTGGATCTGATGAGGAACTGAAGGTGAAGTTCAATGGAAACTTGTCCAGAGAGAATGCTGTGAAGTTTTTCAAGTCGCAACTGGTGTTCTTTCTCACTGTCACTCTGAAAAAAATTGAGACAAAAATGTTTCATCATGATTTCAGGTTGAAATTTGAAGCAACTCCGAATCCAAACTCACCAAGTCATCCATTGTCAGTTCTGGTTTTTCTTCTACTTTAGGTGCTTCCTCAGCAGCTTCAGCCCCATCCGCATTAGCAGTCGTAGCAGTCTGACTCTTGACCACCTTGGGCTTGATTTTCTCTTCTAGCAACGATGGAATCGGTGCAGTGTTCCTAACAGAGAAGAGCACCTGCGACAAAAATTGCTGGGTAGCCGACTCATACAGATCAAAAGCAATCTGATAGGCCATCAGTTGGCTGTCCTCATCTCCCAAGACAAGTTTGTCCAGGATTGTTCCAACGGTGGGGGGATCTTCAAGAAATATGAGACACTGGCACATGTTCACATAGTCAGGAGAAGCCAAGCTACTGTACAAACCAACTAAAGCTCTTAGGACAGTATTACGAAAACTGCGATTCTGGATGAGACTCATGGCAACCTGAAATCAATTTTCAAATATTTCCAACAATCTACAACAGATTTACACTCACTTACACTAAAAAAAAATCAAAAATTAATTTAATAGGCAATGATCCTAACCACAACCTTCAAATACAAAAACATCAACTTAAACCAACTCAATCTGGAAATAGACAACAATAAAATTGAATTCATAAACCAATTTAAATATCTTGGATTTATACTTGATAATAGCCTATTATTGCATGAACATTTTTCCTACATACTTAAGTAAAAAAATTTGCAAAAAACTTTACTTCTTCTCTAGAATGTCCTCATGTCTTTCATCATACTCCAAAATTACAGTATATAACACCATTATCCAGCCCCACTTTGATTATTGTGGTAGCTTACTATACTCCCTTGATTCTAATGAAATTTCACAACTACAAAATCGCGGTATGAGAATAATACTGAAGTGTAATCGTTTTACCAGCACTGCAACGATGTTAGATTGTTTGCAGTGGGTATCAGTGAAAAACAGATTTTATAAATTAACAATGATTTTTATTTATAAGATATTACATAAGCTACTTCCAGATTATCTAAGTGAATTTACTACGATTAACTCCCAAATACATAACTATACTACTAGAGGCAATAATATGCTTCATTTCCCTAATTGGAAAATGGCAAACTCAATGAAATCGCCATTCTATAAAGGACTCGATAAGTTCTATAAGCTACCACAAGACATCAAGCAATCTAATACCATTTATGTATTTAAAACAAGGATCAGTAAACATATCCAGTCACTATAAATCATCAGAATGTATTACAACATAATCAATCTTGTTCACACGAATTAATATACTTTAAGTGTATTATTTCATTTTTTAGCATTTGTCTTTCTTTTCTTTTTATTATATAACTATTAGTCTAGAAACATGTTTGTATAGCTATTTTTTCTTTTTTATACTAGGACATGTCCTACTAAATAAACAAAGTTCTTCTTCTTCTTCTAATACCGCAGAAGCGAGTTGAAAATCCAAAAATAATTTTTCATGTATGATGTAAATGTAAAATCATGTTCTATTGTTCTTTTCTCTATATGGTATCATATTTTTAATTAGCATTCACAATTTTGGTTGCGTAAAAAACTTTTTGATTCATATTGTCTTTGTTCATTATTAAAACCATTAAATTTTTCACATTTTATCTTCACCCACAATTGTGATTTTTGAGACACTTGTTTTTCAAACTCACACTCTAAGTGGAATACAATACATTTTCTGGGTATTGTTTATTTACCAACTTTGTAATGGTATAGGCAAAGAAAAAAATGTACTTTCCAAATAAAATTCTGAATGTTTTCCATATTTCATTTTTACCAAGATTATTTTAACAATTCTGACAATCGTCCACATAACAAATGAATTGTTATAAGTTTAAATTACCAAAATATGTATTTTTCAAAGTGTCCATTAGTATATAATCAAAAGCAGGAAAAACTCATGGTTTTTACATGAAAAACTTTTCAATGAATTGATTGTTTTAGTCATTACTACGTTGTAAGAGATCATCCTGAAAAATGAGAAATGAAACCTTTTTTATGTTTTTTACCACTTTCATTTGTAACTGTCATTAAAGCAGTTTCATTCTATATGGATATTTTCACAGGTTTTCAAATTAGAATACCCACACTGTGACAGGTGAACAAAATTCACGTATTTAAGTGAGTTAAGTACCTCTGTTATTACCTATAGTGGTATTATATAGTTATGTAAGGGCTAACATTATCAATTATTTTCAGTTTTATTGTATTAGTTTGAAAATCTCCACATAGGATAAAACTGCAGTAACGAGAGTTAGAAATAAAAGTGGTAAAAAACATAGAAAGTTTCATTTCTCATAAAAAACTTTTTGATTCATATTGTTCTTATTATTAAAACAATTTAACACATTTCTTAGATTTTACCTGAAAAGCATAGGTAAGCATGCTGATCATATCGTCTGACTGCTTGATGGATGCCTTAAAGATGTCCATTCTTCTGGTTTCAAGAGCGAGACCCATAGCCTGGCGATATTGACCGTCATCCAAACAACGTTGAAACATACGATTTACAATTGCTTCTAGTCTGGGATCAATTGGTTTAGCATCTGGAACTCCTTCAGCAAGAGCGATACGATGCTGAGTGTAATAGTCAATGCATTTTGCTAAAAACCAAAGTAATACAATGTTATGGTCAGAGACCTGGCCGAGTATTTCTGATACAGATGTTTATGGTATAAATAAATGGCAAAACTCTTACCCAAAATTGTTTCCACATATTCAGTACGGGCATTGACATCAAAAAGATCTCCAGCACCTAATGCATACGTGAGAGAGTCTTCAAATGCTCCCAGGTGGTAGTAAACTTTACTGGCTACCAAAGCAGCTAACTGATGGTGCGGAAATACTTTGTCTTCATGCAGTATTTCACTGAAAAATATTTTCATTGTGATGAACAAATAATGGAAGGAAATTAAGTTGAAAAATAAAAACAACTTTTCCATCAGTTATATTGATAAGAGTGGAAAAGATTTCAGAATGAAAATCTATATATAATTTTTAGAATGTCGGAAACAATACAAGTGTTCCTTATTTTTCACAAAATAACTAACCAATGTAATCAGAATTCATTTTGACTGATCAGAATGCTCTACAGGGCTCTACAGATATCGTTAACAATCACAATGATTAGTATCAAGCACCTAAAAAATCTTACTTTTGAAGACCCTTCTACAAACTATACCCTGTCCATCTAAGCAAAAGAGTGCTCCAAAAAATCATACATAGTGCCTGTGATCTCCCAGACAAGGCTGCTTGTACAGAGTCACAGTATGAACAACAGAATTTTTTTTTCTGATATGCTGCTGGGTATAGGATATTTTTTGGTGGAGTGTAGGCACAAAAATTTGCAGTTTTTCCAGCTATATCAATACTCAACGTTTTAAAAATTTCAAAGTCCAAAATACAATATATGTACACACCACATGCGTTGAAAGGTAACTGACCACTCCGACCCTGTAGTGATATACCTGAATGAATTCTGCCATCCGATTGCAGTTAAATCTGATGGGCAAATGTGCGTAGTGATCATGCTTTGGCCATGCATCTATTTTTGTTTGAGTCACTTTGTTGGATGGACACAGTTTACATTTCAATATGTTACCATTATTACTTTTGCAATAGGAATGAACTAAGTTGATTTAATTTATATTAACTTTCCTAAAGTATCCTCGTCTTAGATGAAGATGGTAGTTTTTGTAGTGGTTATAAGTTATAGTTGAATTGATAGTTTTTTCTCAGGAAGCCTTCAAATTTTGCATTCTTTTCATCGTGAAAACCTTCAATTTATCTTATATAAGTTGAAGGTAGTTTATTGAAACCAAAAGGCACTAACTGGTTTGAAAACTCAAAACAAAAAGGGGACTTCAATGATACTTACATTTTTTCTATAGCTTCAGAGATCTCTGGCCAGAACTCATCAACTATTGTGTCGAGCTTTTTCAAAGCGAATACTTTAAGTTCCGATTTGGGTTCTTCCAAAAGGGAAATAATCCCCGCTGAAACAAACAAAAGTTATTTGTCTTTGGTACAAAAAGTGAGGTTACATATATGAAAATGATTTGGCATTAGTTAAAAATGTGTGCAAATGTTTGAATTATTGTTTGGGTGTTTCAGAGGTATGGTTGTGAAAAACTATCGTCAAATCATGAAGGGAAATACTAGAAAATTTAATGAAAATTTTAAATTGTCAGTTTCATGACTTGCAAAACGCATGAGCAGTAAAACTTCAAATTTCAAATTTTATACAAAATGTGTTAAAATATAAGAAGTACAAAAAAGCTACCTGCAGATGTAATATTCATTTGGATTAACATATTTTCAAACACTTGGATACGATAACCACAAAATATTAACTATAACCTTAACAAGATTTCTAGTAAACTGACTGATGTGATCATCAGATTCTGATTCTGATGTTTGATACACAGCACACAACACAAACTACTTTAGAATAAGTGGTTTGTGGCACACAGCGCTTAGTAGTTATTACACAGAATACTAAAATTCTGTATTCGATACACAATCACAGACTCACTATTCTGTGTCACAGATTCCTTGAAAGTGAAGCCTGAAGAAACGCCATAACTTTTGACAGACGACAGCAGTCAACAACGCAAACACAATGCTCACCTCAGACTCCTCAGAGTAACAAAATATTACTCTGAGATGCTCACTAACTAGCCGTGTATTACACTATCTGCTCACAACGATCAAAATGCTCCTTCAACCGTTCACAGAGAAAACGTCTCTTATGACATCATTACTTCCGTTGGCGGCAAGCTCATTTGAATATGGGGAGAACTAATTTGAGAGTAGTATAAACTTAGAGTACAGTCTAGTTGTGCAATTAGACATGACATTTAAAAAATCTACAGTGTAATATGTGATAGAAAATCATGTATCTGAAATGGCTTTTGAATTCTTCTGAACTACGATGAATTACAATCTCATAATGCTGTGACGCAGTGGCCAAGACGTTGTGTGATCCACAGGTGGAATGTATGTAAAAGTGACGTCATGACCTGTCCCTGTTGTCATGTGTATGGACTATAGAGACAAACTTTTTCTTCAAATAGAATCGTTTTAATGAGTAGTGATTCTTTGAATTTATATAGAGGTGGAAAAAGAAATGTTAGTTGTAAAATTCAATTAGTTGATGTTTTGTGCATTGAATGTCTTCCAGATACAAAAGTATAATGACTTTTCTGGAGCATATTCGAATGAAAATTAAAACGGTGGTTATCGATTGAATAAAATATTTTCGCATAGTGTATATCTTTCTTCTCCAACGAAATACAACTTTTTTTCTTGTTTTTTTTTTTGGAAAAAAAATATTTCGATATTATGACTTCAGTACTGATTTCCAATATTTCGTGTACAATCGAGTTGAGACTGTCTCAAAATTTCAGAGTTGATTAATAATTTTTTTCATCATTTCCAGAACATCTCACGACATTTTGAATCTCTCAAAATAATTTCAATGTATATTACTGGAGTTTTTTCCCAACACCAAATCGTTATTTTTAACACCTCCACGTCGATGTCGAGGTGTTAAAAATTACGATTTTATGTTGGGAAAAACCTCCAGTAATATTCATTACTACACCAAAGGTTCCAAACAGTAAATCATAAATTCCAATGCATTCTAACATCGTTTCTTTTACCGTTAGAAGGATCGTTATAATGTGCAATTATATTTTCTTCTCACGGTATATACAATGTCGAACAATATCTCACAAATTTTCTAATCATTATGAAAAGCTGTCTTTCACAATGGTGGCAACCACAAAATATCTAGACGCGAGAGGGCGCTGAGGGACGTGAGGTCAGCTCTCGTGGTTCTTTCTTGTGATGGGAATAATCGAATGATTCTGAGAATCGAATGATGAGTACTCGAGTGATCCCAAAAATCTAAATATCATTCGAATGAAATCACTCGCATACTACGTCACTCGTCACTCATCGATTTAATTCGATATCCGGTGATGCGAGCAATAAGCACGCAATCCCTCGATGCTCATGAGGTGCCATGTGAAACATTAATGGCGAAATTCGAAATGAACTAGATTATTTTATGAGTTAGGATTGTTTGAATTTGTTGCACTAAGAATACAAACCGAGAGCATTGCACTGGTGCGTAGCGGCGCAAGACTTTTACGGGTACTGTTTCGACTATTTAACTCAGTATTAATTTGATTGGATACATTCAACATTCGAATGATCGGAATCATTCGAATGATTCCATGACTGATTATTTTTAATTTGACTGATCCCTTCACTAGTTCTTTCGTTGTTTACATATGGAAAACAAGAATTCATTTGGGTTATGGGACGAAGAGTAAAGATATTTTTCAGAGAAGGGAGGTTTACTATCAACAATACTAACCGTGTTGCAGTCTAATCGTAGCTGTCCTTTCATGAGTGGTTCTGAATGCTTATTGACATTTTTGAAATTTATGAAAAGTCAGAATTATGAATGGAAGGTTTATATTTTCAAAATACAAGGACATAACTAACTACCTACTAACGTAACTACTACCCACATAAATATGTTACTTAACCACTACAACTGGGTCCCTGGGACCCATTACAAAAATAAGCAGAAAAACTGAACAATTCTCCAAACATTTATTTCAAAATGAAAACAAGTATTCTATGATATAATGTTAACCTACATCAAGTATTAAAAAAAATTGCACATATATGTGCAAACATATATGTTTGCACATTGCAAACATATATGTTTTTTGCATATGTCGCAACTATGGTTGGTTTAACGGTCGTTCCTCGATGGACATACAGAACATCTTTTTCTTTTTGACCTGGAAACTTCAGCAGGTAGCTCAACAGGGCGTTCTGAATCAATATTGAAGATTTCGGAGGCTGTATCTCGTAATTTGCGATTAACTTTTCGGTTGGAAATTCGATGTCTAAATTGTCCTAACTCACTATCATCGGAATCATAGTCTTGATCATCAAATTGCCACTCAATTTCACTGGCTATATCGTGATCGATTATTTCCTCAAAATCCATTTCTTCAACATCACTTGCATTTCTATAATAAGTATATCTTCAATAGCATGCAACCGATCTCCTTCTTCATTCGAAACATCATCTTTGTTTTCAATATCGTTCCAAAATTCATCATTATATACTATTTTCATCAACTCTTCATCCGATAACGGTCTATTAGCCATTGTATCTAAGAACAGTTAGTCTGTTAGTTGAAAACAATAATAACAAATCAAAATTGTTTCTTTACCTTTTATGAAATCACACAGAAAATATAATGTTAAAAGTACCCATTGGCCATGTGGACCCAAAATTAGTTCAAATTCGATTGCAACTATTTTAAGGAATACTCAAGAGTAGGGACGCGAGCGATTATTAGACAATCTGTATAGTACTTTTTGACAAGAATCAACATGTCCATGGGTCCACAGGATACGGAATCATAGTCTTGATCATCAAATTGCCACTCAATTTCACTGTCTGTATCGTGATCGCTTATTTCCTCAAAATCCATTTCTTCAACATCACTTACATTTCCATAATCTAGTATATCTTCAATAGCACGCAACCGATCTCCTTCATCATTCGAAACATCATCTTTGTTTTCAATATCGTTCCAAAATTCATCATTATCTACTATTTCCATCAACTCTTCATCCGATAACGATCTATTAGCCATTGTATCTAAGAACAGTTAGTCTGTTAATTGAAAACAATAATAATAAATCAAAATTGTTTCTTTACCTTTTATGAAATCACACAGAAACTATAATGTTAAAAGTACCCATGTGTCATGTGGACCCAAAATTAGTTCAAATTCGATTGCAACTATTTTAAGGAATACTCAAGAGTAGGTACGCGAGCGATTATTAGACAATGACTGTATAGTACTTTTTGACAAGAATCAACATGTCCATGGGTCCACAGGATCCGAGAGTAGCGGTTACGGGCTAGTTAAAAAGGAAATACTGAAAAGATCTAGTTAAAAAGGAAAGACTTAAAAAAATATATATAAATGAAGATGAATTATTAAAAAATATGCTTCATTCATATTGTAACGAATTAAAGAATTAACTTTCTTAAACAAATTTATTTTTAACAATATTTCACTATCACAACTAATTTATATACAACACTTAGCAACTAACGCTTAATTTATCTTCACGGTTAGAATTCTTTCTTCAAACGCACGATTCACTTTCTAGATACAGACTCCCTCTCGGGACGGGAGGCCGGCTTTATATATCGGCAACGATCACTGCAGATCTCTCTAGTCGTTTCGGCCCTCATCTATAATTTTCGTGGCGGATCGTCGATCGCATTCCTTTCGCGGTGAGTCATATGTTTGGTGTCTGAGATAACGGTCAGGGCCGGCTTCAGATTCATTACAATATCATTTACATATTATTAACCCCGACTCAATATTCGAAACATTCCATTATTCCTTTTAGTTCTAAGTTACGATAGTTTATTTTCTTCATCAAGTAGGTAGTGTTTCTATTTTTTTTTAATACCATACTCTCGTCCTCCAGTGCCCTCTGATGGCCTTGCCGATGGCATTGTATCTGAAACATTTCTGAAAGTTGGTTTCCTGAATTCGACGTTCAAGTTATGAAATCTAGATGTCACCTACCTCGGGATATTTCATGTAAATAAAATTGAAAAATATAGGTTCATAGTTATCAATTCAGAAAACTACCAAAAAATGAGGTATTTCGACCTTCTATATAATAAACTAGATGCTGACAATTTCGTGATTCGCCCGAATTGCAATAATCAATAACTGCCCCAACTTAGACATTCGCTTAATAAATTCTAGACACAGAATTGTTGTGTTCTATATGAGACCTACTCCAGATACTCTTTAAAGTTGTTTCATAAGGTTAGTTCATCCATTATATTATATAAACTAATAGTTCTTCTATGGGTTGCGACATCTCTTTAACGTTACTGGAACTTCTAGGGTTACAGTGACAAGCAAATTCTTGGAAAGAAACTTCTTCTTTAATAAATAAATCCGATAGATGGTAGAGCACACCTTCATGATACAAAGTTGAGAAAGTTGTAATCTTTTTAGAAATGAAGATTGATTCTCAAAATATTTTCGAATTTTTATTTACAACTCTAAAGTTTGTTCAATTTCGATTTTGACTTCGAATGTTGATAAATTCCGACTCTGAAGTTGTGAATTTTTGAAATTCCAACGTGTAACTCAGAAATTAGTGAATTTTATTTTCGGAAAACTGTTTTGAACTGAGAGAAGTATTTTCAGTAGATATCAACAATTTACTAATTGGTTTTTCGAATCAATTATATATAAGTAATATCATACAGTGTCATCCCCAAAGTATGCACCATATACCGTGTTAGGAATCACACGTTAAACGGTAAGACCTTGTTAGTCTTTAGCTTGAACAAGTTTCTCAACTTCTGAGAGTTGTCGTCCGTATGGGGGCGACAGCTGATTAACGGAAAAACAGATTTTAAATACAC